GCAGTCCTGTGCCACGTGCTCTAGGTGACCCTGCGTGTGCAGGGGGGTTGGACTAGATGATCTCTAGAGGTCCCTTCCAACCTTAAGCATTCTATGATTCTATGATAACCACCACCACTTCCAGGCTTATTTGTGAGAGCGACTTAACTTGGCCCTAGTGTAAATGAAAATCACACTTTGAGAACTTCAGTGGCTAAAAGTAACATTTGTTAGTGCTTATTACTGATTAGTTTCTTATTCAATCCAGAAAGGATTCTTAAGAACTGAGATTGAGGATGCTCAATTCTGTTTCCATCAGGAATTGACTGTATGATCTCCCATGGTATTTGCTGTACACAGGAACAGATGACCAGCAAATGGCTCTGGCAGGCCTTTCATATAAGAATACACTGTTAGGAAAGATGTATCATGCTATGTTTGCAGTTGAAAAACAGTTCTAAAACATAACCTACCAAAACATAGGAAAGAAAACAAACAAATAAATAAAACAGTACCTACCATTAGATGCAACACTCATATTTACTATAATGGAAAGAGACCAGATAAAAACTGTGAACCTACTTTTGTTCCTTCTATGATTCTATGACTGCTGGTGGGGAACCTACTTTTGTTCGCCTCACAAATTTGTCCATTCTGGTAAATTTTATGAACAGTTGTATTCACTGTTTATATGAGGAAACAACATTCACTCATAACTGAGTAGAAGGAAAACAGGAAAATGAAATGGTAAAGCTGCAAAACTTGACACGACTGTAAGGCAGTTAACAGCTAATACTTAAGCATTTTTTTAATTGTTAGATTCCAGTAAACAATTGTCCATTAGCTTTCCTATTCCCACTTTTTAACTTACCCATCCAGAAGAGAAGTTAGCAAAGGGGCCACATCTGCAAACACTGTGTCTTGAGATTCAGAAGCACTGTAAACTCTGAGGATCAACATGTAATGGTTAATCGAAGGAAAGATATAAATACTTCGGTAAAATATAACAACATCTAGAAAATATAGGCCAGTGACATAAAACTTATGACCTGCTAACATTGCTATGACAGCAGCAATTAGAGATTGCATTTTAAAAGACTTACTTAGCTTGCCAACATGAAGCTGGTAAGATAGAAACCACTCATTGGTGCTGTAAAGCAGGCTTCCTATGCCAGGAAATTAAAAGGTAACGAGGAAGAGCTCAGCTGCCATGGTACTTACCACTTTGTTCAGGTGGCTAAGGGACTCAAAGCCAAGCCTCAAGATTGTGTAGGAAAGTCTGAAGTGCCTACAGTACGTTACGGAAGAAGGTTGCTTTTTGTGATGTATTCCATAAACCAGCATTCCTCGTTCTCCCCTGCTTTTGGGGGAGGCATCTGTTGTCTGTACTGGAGAGAGGGATCCAGGGGTGCACACACGTGGTGTCCGAGCTGATCGTGATCCTCCTGGCAGCCTCTGCCTCCCAGCTGACGGGGCCCCTCCGTGCGGGGCTCTAAGGGAGCGGGCAGTCTGCCCTTCCTCTTGAGATGCAGGAAGGGTTTAGGAAAAGAGGGACAGAGGCTTCAAACTTGCCCCAGAGCCTGGCCCAGAGGAGTCTGTGGCACAGCAGAAATGTAAAGACCGCTAAGGTCATGTGTGACACTGCACTCTCTTCTTGGGCAATATCAGCTTAACCTATTTTCATCCCTACCCCCACTGAGAAATATGATTTCAGACTATTCTTTTAACCTGATTTAGTTAATCAGTTATTCCACCTCTTAGAAAAGATCAATGACAATAGACTTCTTGGCTCAAAACAAATATATGCATTTTTTCAAATTCAAGAAAAATATCCAGCAAGCTTTCAAATAAATTTTCCCCCTAACCTTTCCTTTCAGATATAACATTTGTACAAACAAATCAAGACAAAAATAAAAAATCATCAAAGGGATCATAAAACATGACATTCTAATTCATTCATCTCTTCTCTAATATGTCAAAAAAGTAACCTCCCCTAGACTGCAGCCTGCAACAAGTACTGCTTATACAAGATGTATGAAATCTAAAACATGAAAATCATTAGTCACACTTTAGAATTTGAGATTTTATTTTTTTTTCTTTGAAAAAGCTTCCCTTTTGAATATAATTCTGTTGTAATTCTTTTGTATCCCTGTTTTCCAAAGTGATGCCTGTTTATATAGGTTACAGCAGAATGACAAATTAGAAACAGGAGTTTCAGTAGCAGCAAACATTACAGAACACAGTAATTTTCCTATGTATATAGTATACTGGCATACTTCACTTAGCAGTACTCATGTATACAACTTGTATACATGATCTTAAAAATATTATTGAGTGAGGGACATACTGTGCTCTTCAGCATTTATTCAAGCTCCTTTGTATACTTGAGCAGAATCTGGCCATTAAGGTTTGTAGCCTGCCCAAATGTAGATTCAGTATTTACTTCTCCAGAGATAAGACTGCACGGAAGGACCACTATGACACAGATACAGAATTAGACCAAATCTACCAAGTTCAGCATTCTGTTTCTGCAAGTGGCTATAGGTAAGAGCAAGAAACACCATCGTAGCTGGAGACAGAATAATTCATCTATGTGAGTGACTTATCGTACTCCTTAATAGCGCTAAGTTGGCCTCAAAGCTGAAAGAGTTGAAATTCTGTTTCAATAAATACTATTAGCGTTAACATCCATTTTCTTTTTGTGTCTTGCTGATTTTTTGGCCTGGAGTAACATCCTGTGGCAAAGAGTTCTACAGGCTAAGTATAGGTTGCATGAAAACGTACTCTCTTTAATCAGGAAATGAGCGCTTGTCTGGCTTGATGGACCAATACTGCTTATCTTGTCATTCCACTGACATGCTGTCATACTAAGCTGAAAAACCAACAAATATGCAGAGATGTGGCACAGTTCTTATTAGGAGGGCACAGTCTGTGAAGGGCATCCTTGTGTTGCATGCATGCTCTTCAGTGTGCTTTGTGCCTCAAATGCTCAAGGTCAATATAAGAAAGCAAAAGCCTCATTTATCATTTGCAAACAATGAAATATTCATTAGTCCCTAGTCCTGAATCTTAAACAACTGGGGCTCTAATTCCACTTACTGTGAAATAATATTTTTTCTTAACATGTCAAAACATCTCCCTTAAAAGTACTACTAAAAAAAAAACCCTTAGGTGTTAATAATGAGATGTGAACACTATATGTCTTCACTTGGAGTTGCTGAGTTTTGTAGTTGAATAAAGAAAACAGATAGCAAAAACCACAACTAGAATCAACAGGTTTTGGTAGTCTTATGTTTACACTGCAAAGTAGTATAGACATAGCTAACTGTGTCAGATAGTGGTAGCAGTTTAGAACAAAGGCTTTCAGCTCCATGTTACAATAACTACTCCAAATATTTACCCAACTTCCTGTAGGGATTTAACTGCCACTGCTTAACTGCTGCGGTTCAAATGCTACCAGGGCCCAAAAAATGTAGTTTAAAGTTGGCTTGAACTGGTCTTTGCTGTTCTATCATCACAGGACTAGCTGAAGCAGAGACATTTACTGAAGCAGTTATCTGAGAGCATGGAAGATGCAGCAAATCCAGAAAATCTGTTTCTGTACTCCCCCCCTTTATTTTTACCAGAATGACAGATTTGTCCCTGTGCAGTGATTGATGTTAATTTCACCTTGAAAATTCTGAGCTGCTTTTTTATTTTGCTAACTAATTCACCAATAAAATTATAAAAGCATAATATGCTGAAAGCTGGAATTTTCTTCCTGAGCTGAAATCAAATATTTTGACATTTATTAGTTCCATAAAACGCTGCTAAAAAAATAAACATTTTTGAGTTCATAAGAACCATATGCTCTTCTGTTTATAAAAAAGAGCTGTGCTGGGACAATGAAAAAACATTTCCCAAGAACTGCATTCTTTGAGGGATTTACATTTTTTTAACCTTTTTCCTGATTATCAGGATCTACACCACATGTCTAAAGTCACAGCACTCTAGAGTCCTGTGTCATTACCATTAACTGTGTTGCTCTACTGATTTCAATTTCAGCTTTATTCTGCATTCACTTCAGCTGCTGTTGCTGTGTTAGGTAGAGCTACAGAGTGATAGGAATTACCCCAAGAAGTTTAGCGGACATGTGAGGTGACCATATACCTTGAGAGGTCACATATGTATGCCTTGTATCAAAGAAGCCCTATAACCTATAGGGCCAGTGAAGCTTCCTGAAGATTTGAATTTAAGGGTTTTCAGACATGTGGTGGCCAGTCTCCTGTCCTCAATCTGGATGAGTAGCAAAGGGCAACATCATAGAAGGATGCCTCAAGCAAAGGGTGAATAACTGGCAAAGTTTAGTAAACCTACAACAGTTTGGCTGGAACAGACTCAGAACTTAAATTTAAACCAGGATAGGTAACTCATGCTGGATATATTTAACTTTGAATGAATATAAGTCTTGCTTTCAGCAAGGAAGCTTGAGATTATCCTCATGTGTTCTGTTTCCAGAGGGGTTTGAAGCATAGTTCAGGGTAGACAGCTACTGTATGACTCACTGCAATGCACACACATAGCTCAGTAAAGCAAAGTTTGCATTAGAAGAAAGCCATGAGGCAAAATTTTGTATTTCTTGGTTTACAGAGATCTTATTTACATTATTATAATTCTTTCCTGTTTTCACATGCTAAAGTCAGGTTCACTTTAAAAGAATGCAAAGCACCTTTCAGCCCAAATCCCTGCAGTTTCCTATCTTATGGGTTGATTCTCTGGTGTCTAGTAAGGCACAAAATACAATGAAAAAATGCAGCTCATGCGTTCAAAATGTCTCACACCTCTGTGGGTTCTCTAGTGTATAATTAGGAAACTGTTCAAACTGCAAACTTTTCCTCAGAAGACCACAGGCCACTACTCTTCCCAGCTCTCTATTCTCAGCTACTTTAACTCAGAACTATAAGTAGTATGACTGAACACTACGTCTTAGAAGTCCTTAGTTCAGTTTCTGGCTCAGCCATACTGTCTGATGTGGTGGTGGATGTAATCCACCTCCATTCCTCACCTTTAAAATGTGGATAACATATTTTACTATTTCACAGAATGCTGCAAGGATCTTGGGGAAAAAAGAAAAAAAGAAAAAGAAAAAGAAAAAGAAAAAGAAAAAGAAAAAGAAAAAGAAAAAGAAAAAGAAAAAGAAAAAGAAAAAGAAAAGGAAAAGGAAAAGGAAAAGGAAAAGGAAAAGGAAAAGGAAAAGGAAAAGGAAAAGGAAAAGGAAAAAGAAAGAAAGGCTTTCACTATCCAAATCTTCCAGCAATCCAAACTGCTACACAAGACCACCCACCTCTCAAACTGAAAACTCTTGTTTATTGATGCATGACCAGGACGGTTACATTTTACAAGGACAGTTTCCTAAGAGGAAAATAAAATACTAACAGTTAACAGCATAAGCACACAAATAAAAATGAAATACATATTTATCATTTCTAATGCTCCAGGTTACAGCAGTAATTGAGGAATTAGAGATTGTGAAGTGCAAAAGCCTGCTCCAGAAGTCACCAACATTTGAGGTTTTAGAGCCTGCATACTGCAGTTAACTAGACAGATCAGGAAAAAGGTTCTCAAAATGCACTTAAAGAGCAATAAGCATAAAATAGTACCTAAGTTCAAGAGAAAGATCCAAACCATCACCTCAACTTCTTATGTGCCTAGAAAGCCATAGCCAAGTAAAAGCAACATATCTAATTGCCACCACAGGTAGTAAATGGCAAACAGAACCCTTTATTATTGTAAGACCAGTTTTCAGGCTATTTCAAATATATATATATGTGTGTGTGTGTCTGGAACTGAACAGAAGATGTATATTTCATAGAATATTATGCTAGTCCACAACTGTGAGAAAGAAGAGTAGTGGCATAATTGCTAGAATTTGATGAGTTCTTACTAGAATCCACTATCCAGACAGAGTGTGTAGCTGTTTTGTAAGCCTGTCAAATATGTCAGCAGCTCTTCAAAGCACAAGCTAGAGCGTAATCACAACACTTTCATGTGCCTTCACTAGCATCTCCTGTGCCCTTTTATTCCTCATGGTGTACGTTGTTTAATTGCAGAGAAAAGCAATGAAAAAAAAATGAGAGGGTTTACAACACATCAATGGAAGCTCATTTGCACATAAAACACCTCATCGAATTCAAGGAGGTTTCCTAGTTTATTAACCTGCAGGCTCAAAAAAAAAAAAAAAAAAAGGAAAAATTGAAGGTGGGGGTGAGAGCAAGGAATTAGATGAAAACTTCTGAAACAATTTTCTGATTCAGTTATCAAATTTATTCGCAGAGCAGCTTCCTTTTAGGTGAAAAATGAGACAGGAGAAACTCTGTTTGTGTAAGACAAAAGAATTGTTAATAGGCAGAGATCTTCATATGAGCATTTGTAATGTCCTTCCTTTCTCAGGAAAGTAAATAAGAAATTTACTTTCTTTAAGAAAAGAAAAAATTGCAGACAGTCACGTTAGAGCCCTAATGTTAACAGTCAGAACCTCCATATTAAAATGATTGTATTTATACATGCAATTTGAGATTTAAAATACTTGAATTAGCTCAAAAATTCAAACGAAATACTAATAGCTCTCTCTAGACAAGTTGTGCATGATTATAGAAAAGGTCACTTGTGTCCTTTGAAGAATTAATGTCATGAATATCTAAATAACCAGGAAAAAAATGGTCAAAGAAAATCCCAAATTGAATGCAAGTAGTCTCTGTCTCACAAAACAATACACAGTCATTCTGCCAAAGTTACCGCTCTGCCTCTGGTACAGAGAGTTTCAAGCAATTAAGAGAGCTTCTGGCAGTAGAGAAGAGCATCATACTGCAAATTCTGTTAAGGTATTTTACTGTGAGACAGTTGTTTTTCCCTGTTCTTGCTATAACATGATAGTTTGGTAGCCTAGATGAATATTACCAGGGCTGTGTCACAGTCCAGATACAATGTTGAGCTGAAGCCCATCCATCAGATCACACCATAGATTTTTATGTGTATGCTAGGAGGGAGTGAGAAGGATGCAAACACTTTGCAACTGGGGTTTTCTAATGCAGCTCTACTTTGTAATGCTCATTGGTTCTAAAATGCCCACCTTCCAAATGCACACTTTTATGAAACCATTTCTAGTAAATTCAGGCAAGAATCTGGAGAAACGGCGATGATTTAAATAACAGAAATCAGCACCTCTATCACAAACAGACAGTCTCCCTTTACCTTGATTGAAAATTTCCTTTGAAACATAAATAGTTTTTTTGGAAAGCAGCTAACTCATTTCTGGGAATGTGAGCTTTGGCTGGGTTGAAACTAAAGCCTCAATGACAAACCAAAAAACATAATTTTATCTGAAAATTGCATACTTATCCTAGCTACAAGCGTAACATCTGCAGTTGTTAAAAGACATTGTTTTCTTTTACTTTTGTTAGATCAGTCTAAGTTACTACTTTTTTGTAAAATATCATTCATACATTATCCTCCCACACGAACTAGTATACTTTAAACAAAAAGAGCTATTTTCTATAAACAAATATTCTTACTAAAAAAGAATGCACATTTTAAGGTGTTTTATCAGGATTTGGAAGCATTTTAACTAACTAAATTTCAAAACAAACCAATCAAACATTTAAAGTCAATATCGTCTTTTCCAAATATAGGAAGATAGTATCTTAAAAAAATCCATTTTACAATCAAATCCTGCATATGCTTATTTTCCTGAAATATTTATTAAGGATTTTTAAACAAGAGAAAAAGTTAGCATAATGAAGTTTACCAGCTCATGCATATTCAAACTCATACACTGATAAAAGCAAGCAAACACTATTTTGCTTGTAAAAATGTAGACTGTAATATATAAGATTGCTACAAAAAATAAGCCAAAGCATAATGATTTAATTTGGTCTGTTTCATACAACAAAATTTCACAGGTGAGAAATGGTTGCTGCATTGTATAGTGCAATAAATGGGTCATGGCATCCAGAATATTATACCATTGCAGATTCCTGTTGTTTATGTCACGACATATTCACACTTGCTAACTGACTCTTCATATGCTCCAGTAGTTTCCCAGGTGCATATAGGACCACCCAATCCATGCAACAGAGAACTGTCTAATGAAACTATAATTTAGAAGATCTAAGTGCATAAGATATCTTAGGTCACTTCAGCTACATTTTAATCGCTAAACTGTGGAGGAGAATTTGGCTATTTAGTATGTATGTAACCTCAATTGACTAAGAACTGTGACAGCTAGGGAAATTAAAGGTAAAATCTGAGTTCATACTTTAACCTTAGCTCACACTATGGTGCCTTTTTAAATTTTATGCCTCGGTAATGGCCTCAAGTAATGTTGAAATGTCACCTGGATTTACAACCTCAGTATTTATTCCCCTTCTAATGGATCTAAGTCAGGATCCTTCAACATGCTTGACTGAAATACCACCCAGGCTCTTGTGGTACCTCATGAGATACCATTTTTCTCTCTTACTCCATTAGTTGCCTTGTAATAATAAAAATGAAAAAGTCTGACATATTTTTAGAAATGGTTACAGCATATAGAAGTGGCTCAAAGGGACTGCAGGATATCTGCATTGGTTTGACGCTTCAAACACACAAGCTCCAGTTCATGGATAGCGATACCAGCAGAAGCATTAAGCTATTATTAATACAAAGAGCTAGGAGAAAAATAGCACAAATCACATGCTAATGTATCCATAGGACATGGATGCTACAGAGAAACTATTGATCACATGTCCCTTTTGTCTCTCTTTCCTAGTATCTGTGAATGTGCTCCTGAATTTCACTGTTAAATATACTCACATCATCAGCTGCATATGCCACTTTTTCTGAAAAGTTTCTTTGCCTGTAATGAAATATATATATGTATATATTTTAATAATAAGGGAAAAATAGTTCTCAAACCATAAGCATTTTATTTAGGTCAAGAAAGTAAATGCTTAAAATGTCTGTGAACTGCAGTTGTTTAAAGAGTAACTTTCAGAATTTTCATTTCTATTGTACTCCATGTACATCCTAAGACCACAGTTATATGTGATAAAAAACCACCCAACAAATTAATGTGCTCCCAAATAAAATAATCTACTTAAATAAGCAAGATTTAAACAAGTTCAATTCAGAATAGTTCACATGCAATGTTGTTTTAGAGCACCACTAGAAAGCTTGTAATGAGAGGTTTTCATAATTGCACATTGAACTGAAAAAAAGAAGACTTTTTATATATTTGGCCCCGATTCTGCAAAAAGTCACAAGCAATTTTGCATCCATTACAAGTCTAAACAATGACTGGGACTGCTGAGGTGTATAAATGCATTCGCGTGTATGTTTTCACATTCAGTCCTTACTTCTACAACTAAGTTTTATTACATTTCCTGGGGGTATATTAAGAAAAGTTAGGCTTGACAATTGCATGCTTGTCACAGTCCATTGTGTTCTACTGTGATTCAGCAGCCAATTACTCTAATCTATACAGTAACAAAAACAGAGTTTGTTCCTTCACAAACATACCAGGCATAGGATAACACAAGATGCTCCATCAGGTTCTTTGAAATTTCTTGTCTGGCATTTTTTGTTTTGATTTAATTACAACAAACATATAATTAAGACTTGCAATAAGTATATAGGATTTAAAAGCACTGTTTGCATTCTTTTAGAAATATCAGCCAGGGAAATTAAAGTCACAAATTCATTATTTTCTGATAGGGAAAATCATAGTGTTACTTTTTTCCAGTTTCTCCCTAGTTTCTCTGTAGTCTCTTTACACAACTCCCTAGTTGTATATGCATCAATCTCTATTTTCTTTCATGTTTTTCATTTATGGAGAATTCAGCTTGTTATGGCACATACTTGCATCTAATCCCCCCTTTAAAAAAAAAAAAAATCTTGGGATATGTTGACACTTAAGCTATGGTAAGTGTATTAAAATTAGGGATGCAGAGCCAAGTTATACTAAATAGACAGAATTACAAGTGTTTGTGCTGCCAGAAAATCTGTTTTATAGCATTACAAAACAACTGCAAAGCTGAAGGTCTCTCTCTATACATAACTTCTGACCAATATTATTAAATTCCTATATCCCAGAATTGTACAGGATAGTGAATATACTTTAAATTGCAGTTGTGTTACTTCTGTCAAGCCAGGGGTAATCCTGGGTTATTGAACTTCTATGACTTTTTATTCAAGTAGACATTTCTTTAAACAAGGAGATGAGTTTGTCTGAAGCCAACTTAATTGGAGAAAGAAAAGGAAACAGCAATTATTTGTTATGATATCATTATAGTTTTTCTACATATATAAAAACATAATTATTATCACACACAAAGCTATTGTTTTCTCTATATATTAACTATGAATTAGCTAAGATTATAACAGAGCCAAGATAAATTACCTATCTTGTGGTACTGTATGTCCAGCAGCAGTATCAAAAGGTAGTAATGGTCGGATCCGGCAGTGGACTCTGATATTTCCTCTTAATTCCTAGGATTAGAATATTAATATGCATATAATATAAAGTCCTGAAGAGAACAAATACAGCAGAATAAATTATGCAGGCATAAATGTGTTTAAGAAACCAGAGAAGTGTTTGCAGCATCAGAGCTTTAGATTTTCCATGGAGAAAAAACATCATGATCATCACTTGACCTCTTCTAGCTTTGACTGATAAAGTGGAAACTCTTTGGAGTCATGGAAAAGCCTGATCCTCGCTAGTCGTTCACTCTGAGCCATTTTCCCTCCTTGGTTTCCTTCTTCATTGGAACTTCTTCAGACATCAGGCAAGCAACAAGTCAAAACATTACATTTTTCTTTAAACAACAACCTGGAAGTTGGTGGAGGATGTGGGAGGAAGGAGGAAGATGTAGAACATAAAACATTCTTTTCCTTTTTCTCTCCATCATGTATTCATATATGACTATAAAAATGGTACAAGATTTTTCTCTGTAGACTATTTCAGACTTCAGTTCATCTAACCTAGTGTTTCTCTTTTCCTTTTGCTGATGTTCATTCTTGCCTTACATTAATGGAAAAAGCTTGCCTGTGATGACTAGTGAACACTTATTAATTCCCCATTTCCTTGGGAAATATCCTTTCAGCAAAATGCAATGCAAGGCAGAATTTGGAAGGTCTTATTAATTCCCCATTTCCTTGGGAAAGATCCTTTCAGCAAAATGCAACGCAAGGCAGAATTTGGGAGGTATTTTGTAAAAAAAAAAAATTCATTTTCCTAGATAGACAGCTTAAAAGAATGTTGTTTGAAGATAGCTTGTGTTTCTAAAAATCAGGTCCCTTTTCGAGGTCATTAGTAAAAGCTAATAATTTGTAGTGGGAAGGAAGTGTAAATTTAACAGCTCAAAAACAAAGAATGAATCCCAAAAGGACCATCATTAATAACTGGGAATATAGTTAGGATACATTTGGAAAAAATAAATAAAAGAAGAAAATTTTGCAATTTCAAGTAAATCATTAAAAAAAATGTAGAACAATTTCAGGCAACATTTTCATTTAATTGAACCTGAATTTGTATAGCTTGAATTTCACATTGAGGGGAAATGCTAATTGAGACATATTTTTTCCTGTGAGTTGTAATTTTAGAGAAGGAGATTAGGAAACTCAGTTTTGCTCACTTTTCTAAATAGGTTATACACTTCAGGGCAATATGCCCCAAGAAAAAATTTGGAAGATGTTTCTGAAAAGTAACGAGCTGGGGCTTATTGTAAGACACTAGTGCCTCAGCAAAGAAATGCCCTATATAAAAATAACTTTATAGGTAGTATATCTATGAAAAATATAACCATTACTTTTACTGGTGAGGAAATTATAGGCATAATTACAAGAAAATACAAAATGTTCTGTCATTAAAGGTACTTACAACTAAACTGTTATGTAGCGCTCTCCTCTTATGCTTTTCCTTTTCGTATCTCTCCGTTACCTCTTGAAGGGACTGCTCAAGGTCAAAAGCTTTTAACTGAAACACTGGAGGAAGAAAGTTGTTTCAAAGAAGTCACATCTATGACTTTACAGAATGACTTTACTAATAGCACTTCCTGAAATATAAGCATAAACCTCCTTAACTTCTACCACACGTAAGGTAAAATGGTCAGCTTGTGATTTACTAGTCGCTTTTGAAAAAAAAAATCTTACTTCTTTCTATGAAATGACTATGCAAAGTTGCAAATAATTACCACAAGTAGCTGGGTGCAATCTTGGAAAGTAACGAAGAGAGATTCAAGGATAGCTTAAATGTGTCAGCTTAGCTAGACAATCATTAGTTGGCGGTGAAGCCCAGCTCAAACAGTTCTTGGATGGGGCTAATGGTGCCGTGTTTGCAGGTTAGATTCCTGCCAGTTTAAGTAACAAGATGCTAGCCTATTATTTATCCCCCGCCTCATTTACAGTACTGCTAATCCTGTAAACAGCTAAAAGATTGCACTTTACGATTCACTTCATGGCTATGATTTCATAGAAAGACAACAGATCTTTTGGACCCTAGTCTCCATACAGATGGGAGGAGAGCAGTATGGGACATTATAAAAGCTTTCCAACCTCACAAAGGATTTTACTTCAGCACAATTGCATTAATGCTGAGCAGGCCTAAAATAAAAATACAGTCTAAGAGACTCATGAAGTAACTGTAAACCTGTGTAAAGTAACAAGCTTTTAGGAAATCCAGTGGGAAATCAGTCTCTCCAGCAATGTGACCTTATGAAGATGTAGAGGAGCAAGCAGCCAGAATCATGGTTTGAGAGCTGAGCTAGCAAGCTGGTCACCAAGCTGAATATGTTCTCTCTTACAAAGAAAGAAACGTACTTCTAGGGTCTCAGCATGTCGCACGTATGATTTATGCTCTCTGTGGTAGACTAAAAGTTAGAGATCTTCAAAAGACCTCTGCCTGCACTGCAGATTTCTCAGAACTTATTTTGCAATACCCAAGATGTTCACCTCCAGCTCATACTGGTCCTCCACAGTGCATGCATCCAGAGGAATGTGATGCCAGTAGCTGAAGAGCCAAAGTCTAAGGACTCCACCAAGAAAAGTCCCTTTCTTGAATTCAGTATGTGGAATACCACTGGTTTGTCTTGGATCAGAGACTCACTTGCAAGTAAATACTAGAATAAATTGTCAAAAGTAACTCTGGTATTCACTGGCCCCTAATCACACAATAATTTTAAAAAATGAGATTTTAATCCACTGATTGGTTAATGAATTTCCATTAAAAATATGTTAACAATTTATATACTTGTGAACTCACAGTAAATTTCTTAATACATAGATTATTCTGAACTTTTTATTTTTCTGAATGTGGAAATATTTAGTTTTAAACCTAAATGTTTATCATTTCTTAGATTTCTGCTTAGCTCAGCTACAAAATTCTCAGAAGTTTTAATATTTTCAGTGGTAAACAAGGGGCAGCCACTAGGTATATCTGTTTTAAAATGCAAATAACCCACTCTTCTTTGTTATTCGAGTAGTGGTCATAACGCACATGCGGCCATGATGGACATCCATCCCTTTTAATCATGCTTTTCCTGTCTCATCATTTATATAGAAGTTTTCTGGGAATGGGGAATACTGTTTTGTGAGGGTTTTTTTTTTCTTCTTTTTTCTTTTTTCTTTTCCATTTTTCTGTTTAAACAGCACTGAGTGCAGCTGGAATCTTAGTTATTAATTAGATCCATATTAGTGGCAGAGTGAAAAGAGTGATAGCTTGCAAATATGTTCAGGCTTGTGATGTTTCCCCAGCTGATAGTTCTGGTTAAAGAGTACTTCATCCCCTCCTTGCAGTGCGACACCATCCTTTCAGCTCTGCTGCCCCGACTGAACTGGCTGGATGGCAGAGCTCAGAGGGTGGTGATCAGCGGTGCCAAGTCTAGTTGGAGGCCTGTGGCTAGTGGTGTCCCCCAGGGGTCAGTCCTCGGTCCAGTCCTGTTCAATTTATTCATCAATGACCTGGATGAAGGCACAGTGTGCTGCCTCAGCAAGTTTGCTGGCGATACGAAACTGGGAGGAGTAGCTGATACCCCAGAGGGCTGCGCTGCCATCCAGAGGGACCTGGACAGACTGGACAACTGGGCAGTGAAAAACCTCATGCAATTCAACAAGGCCAAGTGCAAGGTCCTGCACCTGGAGAGCAATAACCCCAGACACCAGTACAAGCTGGGGACTGACCTTCTGGAGAGCAGCTCTGCAGAGAAAGACCTGGGTGTCATGGTGGACGACAAGTTGACCATGAGGCAGCAGTGTGCCCTCGTGGCCAAGAAGGCCAATGGGATCCTGGGCTGCATTAAGAAGAGCATCTCTAGCAGGTCGAGGGAGGTGATCCTGCCCCTCTACTCAGCCCTGGTGAGGCCGCATCTGGAGTACTGTGTCCAGTTCTGGGCTCCACAGTACAAGAGAGATGTGGAGCTGCGGGAGAGAGTCCAGCGCAGGGCTACAAGGATGATCAGGGGCCTGGAACATCAGCCCTATGAGGAGAGGCTGAGGGAGCTGGGCCTGTTCAGCCTGGAGAAGAGACGGCTGAGAGGGGACCTGATCAGTGTCTATAAGTACCTCAAGGGAGGCAGTGTCCTGTCCCCCCTGCTCTAGGTGACCCTGCGTGTGCAGGGGGGCTGGACTAGATGACCTCTAGAGGTCCCTTCCACCCTTAAGCATTCTACGATTCTATGATTCTATGACTGCTGGTGGGGGCTAAACGCAACCCTTCTTGCTGAGCAAGTTTGCCGTGGATCAATTCCCTGATCTGTTTCATGTGTGGTCACACATTTACATCAACATAACTGAAAGGTCAGGGACATGAACAACAGAAGCAGTATAACCTAGACCAACCACTGAAAGATACAGATGTGTAGCTGCCCCCATAGGTACCTGGGATTTTTAGGGCTTCTTTCCAGACAAAATTCCACTTTAAAAAGGTCACTCCAACCTCTACTCCTAGGATAAGTAGACTAAAGATAAGAATAGACTAATCTTTCTGAATACTTTGAAAGCTGTGTTTTATATCCTGCTGGCCACTATTCTCCTATATGAATTGCTTATTTCTGTAACTGTTTCACCGGGAAAGATGGCAAGTGCCTGATTTTCAGACTGAGATACAATATTTCTAAGTAAGGGGATACTCGGTTATTACACAAAACTTTTGTAGCTTGCGGCATGACCCCTAGAGCTTCGAGATTCACCTTTTTAAATGTTTCTTCTATAGTTCTCTTGCTCATCTTCGGTCTCCATTTTAGGATTCAACTGATAACATATATTGTCTCTAGAATACATATTTCAGTCTTTCTGTTTAGTAAAAAAAAACTTACATGTAATTAATACATGGCAATTCTGAATATAATATTTAATTTGAAAATAGAAATTCCATTTGAAGTGTTTCAGAGAGGCAGGAAAAATGTGCAGCTCAGGAACATAAGACATTCACCTAAGCACCAGCACACTATTTTTACATAGGTGAGGTGTTGCAGGTAGTTAGGTCCAGGCTCCTCCTGGTTGCGATTTCATGAAATAGTGTATCATGAAGTGTAAGGTCAGAAAAGTCAGTAGGAATTTGCAGGGTCTTATAGGTATATTTATTGTTTATTTGCCCCACATCTACTCAACCTGCTCTCTGTCCCCTAGCCCCCTCTTTCCACAACAGGAATATTCACCTGAATCTAGGTTTACTTTTCTACTTCTTTTTTTCCAGACTCAGAGACAACTTAAGAATTTTCTCTACGTAGATTACAGAGTGATTTTATCCATTACAATCAACCATTTTAACCATAACTGAATACGTAACATACAGGGAAAAGTTCTGCAAACATCTGTCACTGAACATACAGCTTGTTGATCCTGACTAGTCCCACTGAAAGCAAATCAATTGCAAAATGAATTATTCCAATCAAAAATAAGAGATTTTTTTTTTGAACAGCAACATATGGATCTCAGAATGTGCATCATACTGGTGAACTGGTTAGTTCACCAGCTACTACAATTCAAACAACGTAAGGACCCATTTAATAATCATGTTCGAGGCCTGTTCTTCTCAGGCCCCGTTCAGGGTTGCAACAGAATCAGGGACACCACGAGTGGGTGCAACAATCCCCATCAACAAATCCAGACGCAGGAACAAGGCACCTTGGTCTTGGTTACAGGGGCTGAGAGCACCAGTTCTTTGGAGGATGTGCTTTATATGTATATGTGAACAAGGACCTGAACTTCGAAACTACAATCCTTACGGTGTTATTATCTACACTCTAGCACATGCATCCATTTGTGGTTTAGAAGCAAATTTTAAATACACAGAAAAATAACTAAAAATATAGCTTGTCCTAAGTTTTAGTCATTATCATTCTTTGAGTTCTCAAGTGCTTTTCTGATACAGGCAAAAGTAAAAATAAATAAATAAATAAAATCAGCTAAAGTTTCCCTATTCAGCTATTCTAAAACCATCCAGAAAACAAGGCTGAGAATTCAGATTTAAAATGTTGAGCCAAGACAGCAGCCTACCAGCAGCTGCTATCAACATTAAAATCTGAGCCATTTTTCAGCTTCACAGCCCTGTGAAAATGAACCATTATTTGTATTCTTTGTAACATTTTCTGAGAACTCTATGACACTAAAGTCAAAGAAAGAAAAGTTCTACCATTTCAGCAATTTGTGCCTCAGAACCAAATTCAACCTTTCAATGTTACTAACATTTAGCAGTGACAATGGTGATCTGACATGTTTGAAATGCAAGTGCAATGAGCCTTACTTTGCATTGCTTCATTTTGCAGCTGTATCCTTTGGACCACTGTCAAAACTTGGTAAAGATAAGTCTTGCACTGATGCTGAAAGTCTTTTGAGAGTTCAAGAGCAAATGACTGGAGGCTCTTCAGGTCTTGCTTAAGCCTCTTATCAGCAAAAACAACAACAACAATGTTATAAACCTTATAAAGACATAAAAACAGCAGTTGAGGAAGAATCAAAATAAC